ATACTTAATTACCAGATCTTTAGTTTATTTCCCCTAAGTCCTTAGTGGGAAAATCTTTGAACATTCATCCTAAATCCTAAGTCCTTAGAGAATTATGATGAAATCAAGCCTTGGATTTATCAAGAATTAACCGGAAACATATAGGGTATCCCTAGCCCTAGGTAATATCTACTATAGTCTAATCGTACAAAAACCTTAACAACCACGGTCCAACGGATTTTTAACGGTAAATCAATCCATGTTGGTCCGACAAACAAAGCTTTAAAAACCTTGTAGAGTTAAATTTAATATGAAAAACAATTGTATTACTGAAATTAGGAATTCAGAGTCGTTACAAAATAAAAAAAGGGACACCCATAACATTGGGAGGGTCTAGATACTCATAGTATTCAAAGAAAACAAAAGATAAATTGTAAACATTATAAGTATTGGGGAGAAATTTGATCTTCAATCACTTTAGTTCATGAAAATCTCCTTTCACTGAAACGCTTGTCTTCTCCAATCTTTTATCGTGTAATTATTCACTTGCCAAAAAGTCCTCTAATTCCTCTTTAAAACTCATCTATATAGCAAACATTCACTCAGATCGGTTGGAAATACCCAAAGCGCTCACACAGCTCAACCTACAGATAAAATATAAAAAAATTAAGAAACCAGTGTCACATGGTGGCACGGATCGTGTCAACCAACACGGGTTCCTGTGTTGTTCTTCTCTCATTTAAAATGCTAAGTTTTGGTCCCAGGCATCCTAACACGGGCAGTGTCAGGCTGATACAGGCAGTCAGACCACAAGCATCCTGACACGGGCAGTGTCAGCTGACACGAACACCCGTGTTAAACCTCTGTTTTATGTTTTGTAATTGTTGCATGCCTGACATGACGATTGTCAGGTGACACGGGCAGCCGTGTCAGACTTCCTGGAGTGTGTAGAAAACTATTCCAAATTCTTGCAATTTTTCCTGGTTTTCGCTCGAATTCTTCTTGAATGCTTAATTGGACCCAAAAACATCAAAGAGACACAAACAAAGCATAAAATGCCGAAAATGGAAATAAAGCGCTTAAAAACAATGACACAACTAATTAGAACTAATGGTAAACAAAGGTGTAAAAACCACTGATCAACCGGAAATCACATATAATTTTGTTAGATGAGTATACGGGTCTTCATGATCAAGACCTGTGAATGGATTTGCATACAAAAGTTGCAATATTCTAGTTTTAATCTCAGAATTCCTCGCGTTAGCATGGCGAGCAAACTGAGCATTTGTCTTGGACTATTTGTACACGAACCTTTTGGTCGAGGTGGTGGATCCGCCATGACTTTTTCTTTATTTTTAATTGGTGAAGAAGTATATTCTCCCTCTCTTTCTTTCCTTTCTTTAGCTAGATTTCTCCTTTTTCGTGTATTGCTATTAAGTCTATGTGCAGTCCTTTCAATTTCGGGATAAAAAAGGAGTTGATTTGCAGGTACACTTTCTCGCATAAACAAAAGTATGAAACACTAGCCAAACAAGTGAAAAACAAGAGATATTTCATTGTAAAAAATTAACTTAAAACAATAGAACTGACGTCAATCTCTGGCAACAACGCCATTTTGTTGAAACACTTTTACAGAGTAAGTATTTTATTTATCGTATCCACAAAGATTGGGTGATATTATCGTTGTTCTACAGTTGAAATTGTTTTAAGTATGGGTTTATAAAAGTTTTTGCTAACGGAAAGTCTTGATTTCATGAAAGGTGTTAAGTATCGATAGTCTATTTCGTGTGTATTTTCTTAATAAAGCATGTGAACTTATTAACAATCAATATACTCACATATCTTCTCAATATGTTTCATCTCTAAAACAAATTGTGAGTTTTATTATATTGATCCTTAGATAATATCTCAACCTAACTATCAATATGATAATTTTAAAAGCTTTATATAAGTGATTATCAACCCACAAAACTATGTCTAGACATTGTTTGTTGATAGATGAAAACCTAGGTCGATAGTTGAAACATATTTCTCAATAATGATCCAAATCAAACATAAACCATAAAATCAAGGCTTTTCACCACATATTAATCATCCGTTGTTTACATACAAAATATCAAGAGAAATACATACAAAAGTGAAGATTATCTACCTATAATCTTGACACAAAGAGAGGTTTAGATATCTGTAGTCATGGTAGCTTGATCAACGAGTAAACAACAAAAAACTTTATGAACATAAAACTTGAAGTCTTAAATATTGATGTTAGAAAGCTTTGATTTTTAGTAGAAACGAAGAAGATGAATTTTTCTCTCACACACCATTGTTTCTAGGTTACAAGAATGTAAGAAAATGCAAGAAGTTCTCACAAATATCTTACAAAGTAGCTTATAACATGGCATGTCCGCTCTATTTCTCCAGGTGCTACATAAGCTTCGCCAGGCGATCCTCACTTTACACGCCCACGTGCCAGTAATAGCGCATGCGGGCTGAAGAAAATATCTTGCCTCGCTAGGCGGGCCAATAACTTCGCCTGGCGAGCTCTTCTCGTAACCTCTTTGTCGGGCGCTCCAACGAGCAAGACCAAGAAAGTAGCTTTTGACTTTTGTAAACTCTCTCGCCTCTAGCCTTGCCTCGCCTTCGCCTGGAGAGGCTTCCTTCACTCGCTTCCCTTTCGCCGGGAGAGGTTTCTGAAATACAAAGAGTGAAATTATTTGATTCTTCTCAGAAACTGCCTTCAGCTGCAACTTTTGAACATAAAAAGCTGAAAAACTAACAAACAAATTAAATTTTCCAAGATTATATACATCGATGCAAAAATAACTTAAAATAAGTCATTTTCATAATTAAAAGCATAGAAAAGAGCTTAAAAGTGTCAATATGTGATATGGAAAATAACCAAAAATTGACCCTTGACATGGAATCACACTTGAGGGGGGAGTTTTGAGTATATAGCAAGTGTGACAAATAGTCCGAAATTAGATAGAAATATGGTGACTAAGTCGGAGAACCCTCTCATCTGTCACCTTAAGGTTTTAGGTGGACAAGTGGTGTGTCTCCAATAAAAATGTGTTGTTCAAACAAAAAGTCCCGAAAATAAGAATGCTCTTCACTCGATCCTCTCTCGATTGCTACATTAATAAGTTCCACATATAAAGATACATGGTGAAGGCGAGTTTAAGAGTTGGAATGAGAATGAATTATGAACTAGACAACTGTAAATATGTTGCTTCTAGTGATTCTCAATCATTCATCTACAACCATTATAAGAGATTGACATTTTATAAAATTTGAATGGAAAAGGCTAAGGGTAATCCGAGTAGAAAAAGTCATCAATATTGGATGTCCTACTGTTTCCTCTTCCTCTTCTGTTTCTTCCCTTTCTTCCTCTTCCTCATCATTTTCTCTTTCTTCCGAAACATCTTCGACTCTCCTTGTTGGACAAATATTTGATTTATGACCTCTTCCATTACAAATATAACATATATCTCTAGTGGGTTTAACATATGGATTATTCTACCTTCATACTGGTGTTTTACCTTGCTGCGCACTGCTAGAGTTGCTAGTTCTCTAATTCTCAAGGTTGGAATCTCTGGTTGTTGCACTCTTTTCCTTGTCGCATGCTAATTTATAGTTATTCTAGGGAAAATACCTAAAAGATGAGAAGTTACGAGGGGATTTCTCAATTAATTCTTTCAAGCTAGACTAGATGCCTCATAAATGGTCCATACAATCTGTAAACCCATCTTCTCCTACAAGGATCCCTTTAAGCCACTGATGTATCGAGCAATTTTTCAGATATCTGATTCTCCCAATTCATTGCATTCAGAAAAACGCAGAAACTTAATTATTTATTCAGTTACAATTCTCTTGCTCTGAACACACTCGATGTACATCTCATAAAAATCTGTTCATAATCCTCAAATAAAAACTGCTCCACCATGAATTGTTTCATTCTTCACCAAGTTCTGACTGGTCCATTCTTTTGCCTTTTCCTTTGAAAAACAGGTTTATCCCACTAAACAACAACACTACTTTTAATCTTGATCGCCATCATCTTAACTGGCTTGTTCTCAGGGACGCCAATAATGTCGAAGAACCTGTCGACATCGATATGCCAATCTAGAAACTCATCCACTCCCATCGTTATGTAGAATAATGAAATATCAGCCTTCACTCGATTGTCATGGTTGTTTTATCGATTCCCACGACCAAGCCCTTTCTCGTAGGGTTCTTCTTCTTCAGAACTCGAATCTTCAGCATGATTGTTTCGACCCTATAGAACTATAATCGGTTCTTCTCTCCTGACTTTTTGTTGATTCACATTGTTATTATCGATGTTGTTTACCTTATTTTCTAAAGTCGTCATTTGTTTAATAAAATTTGTTTGAGTCGTGGTAAAATTAGCGGTAATTCTCTCAAGATTTTCTCTGGTCATCAACTGATCCGCCATGGTTGTCAAGTTACGAAAGAACATGAGAAAACATGCTTTGATTCCAACTGACGCACTCAAAAACATGAAAGAAATAGCAAGCGCTAACCCTATAACACAACACAAGTTTGCAACCGACAAACTTGTCAAATAAAGTTGGAATCCACCAAATTGAAGAAAAGTTTGAATTTTATTATAATGAAAGATAATCCTGATGATCACGTCAAAGATCTTTAAATATAGAAAACAAAGAAACTCTATTGAGCTTTTAATCGAAAACATAAATAAAATAAAATAAAAACTCTAATGAACTTTTAAACCAAAATAAAATAAAATAAAAAATTGAGGAGAATATTTAAATATGATTTTTGAGTCTGAAACAAATTTGGATGGCTTAAAAAACATTCCTATATCATGCGCCCGCAATTGCGATTGCGGACCACAAATTTATTTTGGGATAGAAAACATCATTTCATTAAGAGAAAAGCCATGAGGCATTACAAACATAAAGATACTTAGTGTATAAGATAAACCTCATCCATAGTTCAGAAGCATCTAAGACATTACACATAGATTTAACACAAGGTAAATGAACACAACCAAACCAGAAATAACAACCAATAATCCATCCATCAACTCTCTTAAGAACACCATTACTGGAAATATAAGAATGAGAATCTATAGTCTTTTTCTAAATCAAATTAAGGATGATTTCTTTGACCTGTGTCTGCGCATATCGACTTTCTTTGTTCTCAAGATTGTCAATTTTAATGGAAAGCTTAAAATTTTGTTGATGACTAGAGATAGTGTTGCTCCAAAAACCAAAAATCCTTTGAGGATTTTTATCAAACACTATGAGTGCAGTCTTAAATCCCAAATGATAAAAGTATAAAATAGACAACACCAAAACATAAATGGATAGATCTGAAAGAGGGACAAATTGCAACTTGTAGTAAATCCACGGTGGCTTTAAGGGTGCGCGAATCTCAACCAACAGAGCACAAATAGTGGAGATGGACGGTTTTGAGATACTAAGACCAACCTTGACGATATTTCCATCTCCTAGTAATGGTGATGGCTCTGGCGGCGTCTTATTCAACAGAAATGGAGGCGGTTTAGTAGTGGTTTGTAGTGAAAAGGGAAAAATCTGATGAGGGAGCCAAATCTGATGGAAGTATGACAGTGGAGTTGGGTGAAAGAGGAATTATCCTTCATAGAGGGAGGGATGACCACCATAAGAGTGGTAGATGAGAGCCACCATGAAGGTGGGAGGCATTCACCATTAAACCCTAATGATTTGAGAGAGGTATTCTAGAGAGAAGAGAAAGCATCTCTCTCTACTAAAAAGGAAGATACTTTTTTGTTATTGCGTACCACAATTTAAAACCATGATCACTGGTACAATATTCACCGCAAATATAGTATCTCTATTACCATTTGCTAGAGTGTTTTCAACTATCACAATAATTTTACAAAAGAATAGTCTAACACACAACTAATATAAAACAATAAAAGGTAATCTTTTCTATAAGAAAAAAAATTCTCATATACATATATTTAAAAAAGACATGTATTATTCTTTCAATCATTGAAAGATCAACGAACAAATTTATTGCAAATTAATCTATAATAAAGGCTCTTATTTTTTGACCAAAAATCTAATAAACTCTTAAAACAGATGACCATACACACAGCTCATGCAAAGGTAAATGACCCCATTTGCATTCACTACGTACAACTCCTAATTTACATACATTTTGTGGTACCACAACTTGGGGAGCCATTGAACCTTAGCTTAACTTTTAGCCCATTTATTTTGTTCCATCATAGTTAGTAGGACCACACAATGGTAGTTGATCCGTCAGGGTCACAGATAAATATGAAGATGGCAATGCTTTTTCCAGCAAATGGATAATCTTTGACCATTCAAATCTAATTAAACTTTATAGTTATCAGAATATTTTTTGACAAGCTGTTAATCACAATCTTATATGGGGCAATTGTTCGTAGTCGCATTTGTACTTGCAATATCTATATAAATCATGAATTTTATTTATATACTTTTGGTTTGACATTTATAAAATCTTTTGTGGATAATTACTCCTCTTTTAGTTTGATGCTAAAAGATTATCCTGAAATAAAAGAGTTTTGTGGATGATTACTCCTCTTTTAGTTTGATGCTAAAAGATTACCCTGAAATAAAAGAGATGTAAGATATAAGTTGACGTGCTATTTTTTTTTAATGACAAAGTTAATCATTTTAAAAATTACGTTCGTCACCTTAAGAGACATATGACATAATATGCATGAATCATTAAATTCATTGTAAAATATTTACCGTATGATCTGGTGTTAGAAAGTCAAAAGTATCAAATTTAAATTGATTGAAAGCATATTAATTGTCAGAATACACTTTCTCATGTTTGACCATTTTATTTTAATCGACTTTGACGTCTAATTGTCCTAAAATAAAACTTTTAATCCTCAGTCTCATAAATGGAGAAACTCCAGTCAAATCTAGGCTTGCATGTGTCCCTCAGACCGACTCGTTCACTAGAACATCGGCTGACCTAAGTGCTAATCTTCCATCATGTAGCTCGATCAAGAAATTTACAGATGCCTCTTTCTTCATAAATATTTCTGTCCACCGAAATATATCAAACAAGTCATTCTTAACAAAATTAGTCTGATATTTGAATCTAGGAAACTCACAACAATGCACTTCACATTCATCAAATGTATCCAAGCACACCTTACGATGCACTAGACCAACCTCATCAACAAAAAATAAGAAAATCATAAGGCGATATCTAAAGATAGTGTGTTACTCTATCGGCGATATATGTTGGCCTAACTTAGTAATAATGAGAAAATCATGAATATGTGTTGCTTGCAAACAACCAAATTCAAATCATACATTACATGACTCGAATCACAAGCTATTTCACTCTTTCCTATTTGATTCTGACCAATTTGACTTGAATCAAGCTTTGTACATGACTCGAATAACAGATACAACATGACTCGAGTCACATGAAATGAGACACTTTTCTTTATGTTGATCTTGTTTCGCTCTAGTTGCTCATTTGACTCAAATCACAAATTCTCTTGACTCGAATATAACAACCATTTTCACCTATTTTTATGCATAACCTCAAGCACATATAAATTCTTTTTGTCACCTTATTTTCAACAAGCAATCTCATAACCAACATTGTGATTTTGCAAAATCAACAACCTCTCATTTTGAAAACTTAAAATTTATTGCAAATAGATTTCTTTCATCTTCAACCTCTAGTTTGATTTTTAGATCTTGATTATAGAGATTTGTAATTATTGAGGGAGATTTATCTTGAAACTAACATTTATTAGAGATTTAGTAAATATTTCCAAGAAACTTGCAAGGTTGTGATTCTTGTGACTGGTAGTGATAAATTATAGTGAAAAGAAAGAGGTTATTCTCTCCAGGTTGAACTTGGTATTGCTATGTGGAGCCAGCATACAAGGTAGGAGTTCTTCTCAATCTTCGGAAAATTTATTGCTCATGAAATCGGTGCAATCAATGGTGATTTTCATTCACAGAGACTTGGAGCAGATTGAAGAAGCTGGAAGATTCAAGAAGCAAGAATCGAGTAAACATTTCGTAGATAGTTCGACGTTAAATCTGTATACAAGTGAAGATCCAGATAGGAGATTTATTTTTCTTAGAATTATTGTGGATTAGTATTTGTATGAATTTGTGTAATATTTGTCAAAATATATTGAAAGATCTAGTTTCAATGGGAAATCATTAGAGAGTTGAGTAGGCTCCTGCGAGGATGATAGAGTCGAGCCATTATACATTCTAGTTCTCTCCCTCTCTCTATGCATTTTAATTTTTGTAGGTTATTGCATGTTTATGTTATCGTTTCTTAGTGTAGTTTATCATTAATTTTTGTTGGTAGAGATTTATTACATAAATTTAGGTTTTGATAGAATTGAAACCTATTTGTGTTTTAGTGTTGATTAAAATCTACAGACTTGTGATGTTAGAATCCTATAATAATTGAATTTTTGTAAAGAACACGTCTCGTGTAATTTAGAAATTATCAATTGAATATAGGGTATAACTTTTTGTGTATTGTCTTTGAATAATATATAATATATGTGAATTGTGTATTTGTAATCGTGATTGGTTTCTAATTAAAGCATAAGGTCTTTATTTTCTCTTTAAGACTTACACACGATTGAAAAACTATGATATTATATTTTGGAAAATCAGCCATTTTTAAAAAGAGTATATTCACCCCCCTCTAGAGAGTTCTTCTACTCCATATTCCTATCCAACATATAACTCAACAACAATATATATCTCAATACCAAAACCTGTAATATCTCAATAACACAACAAACAACATAAACAAACATATATCAACAACATTTTACTATTACATGCATGGTGGATATATATTTTACATACCGAAAACACAATGAAGACGTCAAAGATCTAAATCATGTGAATTTCGTTCTTCCTTCTTGCAAGTATCTTCGTGTCCCTCCTTCATTTTTCCTGCATTTTCCATTGCTTTGTATGTTTAATCAAGAACGGTAAGGGTCACATTTGTCCATGTTTACTAAAGAACGATATTTATGGTAAATAAATTATGTTGAACAACTCGGAGATGAAACAATACGATGTTTCTTTTTCGTTAATGGAAATGAAAAAATTGTTAGGGTTCAAATGATTTCTCTGTGTTGAATGTGTGTTTTGTTTCATAAAGCAATGACGAGTTACGTTGTTTATCTTGAATAAGAATATAAAGTTTCTTCATGGTTGTTTAACCCAACTATGGTGATATTCCATTTATCTTATTTTATTTCATAAAAAGCATCAGTTTTTAACCATTAATTTTTTTTTTCTATAAGAGAATTCATATCGCCACATTTGGTTTAACCAACTGTAGTGAAATATAGATTAGTTTTAGTTTAAAAATAAATAAAAAAGAAAGGCGCCCCCATAAAATAGGTAAAACATATCACTTTGTGTTTACCCTGAAATTTGGTAAACAACAATTATCTCTTCTTAAAGGTTACTTTACGAGATCGACTAGTGATGGAAACAAATATTATTTTGTCTGTTGATGAGTTTGGTCTAAATTTGTGGATCTATGTGATCAAAATGAAAGGACAGAGTATTCGACATCGTTAAGAGATTCAAGATGCTTGTCAAAAACAAGAGTAAGAAAAAGATCAAAAGTTCTACAGAGATTCAAAATCATTGTCGAAGGAATCTAGTTGAAGACAGAATGTTGAAGAACAATGATCAAATCCATAGGCCATTCTACATGATCTTGCTTTGCAGGCCTCAAACTTGTGTTTCACTCCATAATTAATTATTTACACAATGAATTAAGCTCTTACCCCAGTATTTAAAATATTGTCTAAGCCAATTTTCCCTTAATGGAATAAAGTTACCATTGCCATTTTAGAAAAGCAAGATTTATGCAAATTGTCAATGCATTGAGCCTTGTAACCTTTATCTCTGATTACAAGCAATATCAAAAGCATGAATCAAGTCTCCTACACCCAAAAAACATCAGGCCATGCTTGTACTTGAACTTTGGAACCATGAAAATCCATTTAACTTGATTTTTTTCATTTTCAACTAAACCACAACATATCATCTCAAGATTATGGTTACTACAAGATGTCAAACCTCTTCCCTATAAATAGAGAGATTATTTGCAACATAAATAAGGAGATGACCAGCCTTAGAACACTCCAAGAAATCTCAAAAACTCACAACTTGCACACAATTACAAAACTTGACACATTCTAACTTTACACACAAAATCTCAAATCCCTTCGTGCATTTTTTGGCTTTTATATTCACTAAGCTTCCATACACCACAT